GTGTAAGAGTACGTTAACTTCTTGGAAATCTTTACTTTTTTCTGTTAGATATTAGAAGTTAACAGTAATGCGTCTATCTAAGTGGTCACCCATACAATACAATTTCGATGTATTATTTTATGGCTCAGACTTTTACTTTGTTGAATCGGGTTCGACGAACATGAATTTGCAAGTATTGTAAGTTTGACGTGATATTAATACATAGGCACCTTTAGACACGGACACTTAATATTAAATTAACAAGTGCATTGGATATCATGCTAAGATTTTTTGAAACTATTAAGCCAGTTATTACATGCGAGATAGAGCTCGTTAAAATGTTAATAATACATTAAACTTACTAAATTAGCTTTTATGTTAACTGTTGCAGTTAATTAAAGAACGCTTCACTTGTTAAGCCGTGGCAATTATGTACACCAGATGGGTGAAATCGGAAATTTAGTTGCTTTCATTAAGGAAATTATGATAGAAACTGAAACTAAAAATCGACCAGTGCCGGAAAGGAAGATATTTGCGCAATCCGCATATCTTGACAGGTAAATTTCACATCAGAAGTCTGGACAGATGAGCCTTCGAGAAATGTTTGCAACCCGCTGCCAACATATCTTTCATAAAGCGAACACGACAGGAAATATTTCAATGGAACTCAAGGAAAATCTGCACACACCGAGTGGCCATGGAATAAATCTGCAGGTTCTTGTAACAATTTACATTTCCTAGTTTATGCACTGCATACATGGCTGCTGAAAATCAATGCACTTTCGCTATAATTCCTGTAGATTTTTTCAACAATGTGCTTTCTCTGGCTGAACAGACGCGAAAAATGTAACAACATTCACTATCATCAAAATCTGTGGCTGAGAGCGAATCATTTTAAATCAGCGCCAGTAATTGTTTTACGTGCAAGAGAAAAAGTGCTTTTTTTGAGCGACAGTTATTTCAGCGTAAAAATATCAATATCCAAAGGTTTAAACTTGTGACCTCGAGAAGCGTGTAAATTGGTAAAAAATGCGGAAAATGATAAAATCACCAATAAGGGGTCTTCGACCCGGATTTAGTAGATATGTGACCGAAAACATTGCCCTGCATGATGTGGAGTTTTCAATGTTTTCATCACTTCCACAAAATAATTAACCAATTAATTTGACTAATTTCAAGAGCTTAGTTGATAATGAAATTCAACCTTAGGAAAGCATTTGTTCTGCTTTGCAGAAAATTGTCTTTAGATGAATATAATTGAGTGCAATTCCGTTCCCATTTGATAATTAGAACTTCAATTGTTTTTCTTAGCTTTCTCGATTATACCAAAATTTGGAATTTGCTAGGAAGTATTCCAGTCACTTAAATCAGCAGAAAGCCCTACATTTGACTCCAGTAATGTCCAGTTTTACAGTTTTCAAATTTTTCTTGCTAAATAATCAATATTACGCCCAAAATACTCTATTGGGTGGATATGTTCAGTCAGTTTTTCTTCTAAACGTTATGGTAGGGGTAAAGGAATTTTATACAGCGGGATAAAAATATGTTGTTGAATCATATCTTTAAAACGGTAGTTGCCTCGATCTTGTTTAACTACGAAAAGTGACTGAAGTCAATTTGTGTAACTAAATCAGTGTCGTGCTCTAAGGGCTCGGTACAGCAATCGCACTGTGGTTTAATGTATTTGATGTGCCGTACTGTACGGGTTCGAAACTGATTTCGACTCAAAAAAACACTCAAAACTTGCGCTTTTTTCAGTTTGTGTCACTAAATCAGTGTCGTGCCCGAAGGGCTCGGCACAAGGATCGCATTGGAGTCTAATGTATTTGTTATGCCGATCCCTACGGGCAAACACAAGTTTAGCGCCTCATTAAGCACCGCAAGTCTTCCTTTGCCTCAAAAGTAGATGTTTTGGATAATTTTACAAGTATTGACTAACAAGTTTGACTAAACTAAAAAATTATTGCAGTTACTGAAAAAAATTCAACGTCGCTTGCGGTGCTTGACGCAGCAAGCCACTTCTGAACTCCCGAAGATGCAAGCCACTCGTGCTTGTGGAACGTGAAGAATAGTTTTTTTTCGACCTGGCCTAAAACGCCCCAAAAATTCATCAGTTTGAAATCGTTCAAAGTTTCTTATTTACCAAATGATATTAGGCGTTTTTTTCTGTCTTACTTTAAAAAAATTCTAAATAGCCACAAATTAAAGTAGCCTGCAATGAAGGAAAAAAACTATAAAAAGAGGACATAACGGAATTTATTGCTACTATAAGTTTCAAAACAAATAAATAAAAACAAAATCATTAAAATTCCTGATTTTGAATATGACCTCCGTTAACGCTAAACATATAATCCACTTGAATTTTATCTATAAAGTTTTGAATATATTGGTTATGAATAATATTCATATCGTTAATTGCATCCACCATTGTAAGGCTTCTAACAGTTAGAGTTTCATAAATAATATTCTCTAAATAACCCCAGAGAAAAGTATTATATCAAGAGGCCTTAGTTCGGGGTTATTTGGAGACCATTGGATAAGACCCGTTTGTCCAGTATATCAATATGGGGGTGGAGGGAGCGCCTTGTCGCGTTTCAAAGCTACTTTGATTTGTTCCTGTTTACAATTTTTAATTTTCTACAATTCAAAATTTATATTTTTAAAATCAGGAAAAAATCATATTAGTATGTCTTCCAATATATAGAGTGTTTCATTTAAAAAACAGTTCATGTCAAATTTTGACATTTATGTGTTTTATTTAAAATTCAATTTCAAAAATTAGTAAAATTAAACAACTTTTGTGTTGGTAAATTCACAATATTCATAATTGTTTTTTTATAAAAAAAGGACTTCAAAAGATCTTAAACAATATCACGTGATTTTGCTACATGAAAATGTCAAATTTTACCTCACCGACGGTCCGGTAAGTTTTGTGCTTAACCTTACATACAGCATTTTGTTTTAATTTAAGTTTATCTTGAATTTATTGAATTTCCAGGTAAAAACAGAAACAGATTCAATTCAATTTGTTCAGTGGAACTCCCAGTGTATGTTGGCAAAAACCATTAAATTCTCTATGATATGGTTTATGACGTTTCTAATGTAAAACGTCAAATTTCCGACAGAAAAATGGAACAATTTAAAAAATTGCATCAAAGTCATCAAATTTCTGCAAAAATTTCCACTTTTTCAAAGGGTTGATGTTGTATAAATAAACTCATCATCATGCTGTCACGTTTACCAAAAATTAGTAGCAACTTGGATATATCAATAAAATACCATATAAATTACTGGGTATTTTATTTATATGTCCAATTTATTGCACATTTAGATAGGCTTGATAGATCTGAATATTTTTGATTAGCAATTCCTATGCCGTTTCCGAATTATCAAATAACATTCATAGTTTTTACGGACAGATGGCAATGAGGAAGATCAGATTACAAAGCGATTTCAATTCCTGGATTTTTTAAGTTTTGGCTCAGGACCAAGAAAGCTGGGTGCTTGAATCTCACACAGAGCATTTTGTTCTAAATTATCTAGACGATTTCGAAATAAATGATAATACGGTTAAAATTAAATAGGCACGACTCCAGTTGCATTATTTCAAATTTAAACCAGTGTATCCAAGTTCAGAACAACTATTCTTGAATTCGCTATAAACTGTTTTGTCTGGTCGAAAAAGTGACAATATTTCGAAAAATACGTCAATATCGATTTTTGCAAAAATTTGACCTTTTTCGTAAAAAAATACTTTTCAAAGATAATTTTATGGTTTGTCTGAACCTGTACTAATATACAGGGTTTCACGTTTGAAACAATTAATTAATTGGAATAGTTTTTATTATTAACCAGAAGGTGAAAAAATTTCAGAGCGTCTGTATAGGTACGAGCAAATTGCTGTAAGGGGGACTTAAGCACGGACCTTTCTTCGTTGAGGAACTGAACGTGAAGATGCGGTATATTTATATTGCTTTCTAATACAAAATATCTTTTGGCTATGTTTTGATTAAAAAAAATGAATTTCATTTAATATTTCGGAAGCCACTTTAAATAAGTAGGGAAATTATTAAGCAAAAATATCAAATCTATTGAATAAAATTTCATTTAATTTTCTTTCATAATTATTATGTATAAAATACAATAAATGGTACAAAATACATATGGACATATAATACTAAGTATCACCCAATAAATATGGACGTTTAACATTTTAATATAAATGGAAATTGTAATTACTTTCAAGCAACTCATCAACAGTATAATTAGTCTTCCGTAATTCCAAAAGCTAATTTTCAATTGGGTATTTTATTGTGAAGTTTATCACGTAAATTATTAATTTCATGCTGAATACGCACAATTAAGACAATTATAAGTTATGAAACATTTGTCTTTATTTCTTGTGTTTTGGCSATTTAGGTCACACTGATTAAATTACACAAACATTAAATTTGTATTTATGAGCGTGCATACGTTGATCCTGCGTTGAGTATAGTGAAACTTTTGAATAAACTGCACGATAAAGCCAATCAGGGAACAATAATAAACAGGCTGTACAACTTATCAGAGATCTTGTTCAGCGTATTCTCCGTAAACTCCACGGACCGTGAATCACCCGGTGTATGAGTTCTTTATTACCAAATGATATAAACTAGATTTTCAGTTTTTTCATTCACAAGTTTTAGCTTCTTTCCTAATATTCGCAACTCACAAATCTGCTGACAAATCAATCGACGCCTTTAAAATTTCTTGAAAAAATTGAATTATTCAAAGCATATGCCGATTTTTTCTGTATCTATTTTGCATTTTGACGAAACCGTTAATCTGACAGTGCATTGTGATGTAAAACTGCATACCACGCAATTTTTAGTAACTAAACTAGAAGTATGAGCCGCTTTTTGCTAAAAAATCCCATAATTTTCTCAAACCTGGACCTGTTAATAATCCAAAATTCCCCAATAAAACACTAAAAAACCCGCGTCAAAATCACTAATAAAAAAAAACAGGAAAAGCACCATTACCGTTTTCATAGTGTTTTTTAGAAGAGAACTGCCGCGTATAAATCTCTTTCTACTAAGTGGTGATATGGTTAATATTAGTTTATATACCCCCCTTCACTTTGAATGCACGCACCTGCTTCGACATGGGCAGGATCATCGAATCCCGACTCGATTTTGTCAGTCATTCGCGGTTTGGGTTTTCTTTGTTAATTTCCTTTTTCTGTTTTCACTCCATTTGAAAGTTACATCACTTTTTGTTGGAGTAAAAGTATTCACTTTCAATTAGCGAGAGAAGCTAACAATTTTGTAGTTTACCCAGACAGCAAGTGGACGTTACAATTAGGTCATTTTTCGTAGAAAATATCACATGAAAATACAAAAACGAAGCGTGATTATGACATAAAAATGCCGTGTTTAAGACGTCAAAATATAGTGAGTATTTACGCTAATGAAACTTTGACAATTACGGGTCAGATGACGTCATTTTCATGCCAGTGTTCACAAGTGATGGTCACATAATGTCAAATTGACGTGATATTTCAGAGGCGTTAAATTGCAAATATCTACGAGGACGCATTGGTTTTTGAATTGGGATTTCCTAGATGCTCAATTAGCATTTGTTTTTGCCAATTATACTTAAAAAAGCGATTAGCACAGTTGTCTTGATCTGATTTCTGTAAGTTATATAGAAACCTGTTGGATCTTAATAAAATACGGATTGGTGCAATTAACCTTCGCCTAGCAAAAATGGCTTAGAAGTTGTACATTACGAAACAATTTATGGTTTTGCGTAAACCTGCTCTGGTCATTATTTAAATCTTTTAATCCGAACAAAAAGTCAGTTTCCAATTTCCAGCAGCTCAGGTTTCCCTGTTTTTTAATTGGCATAATATATTATATGTATATCTAGTCACACGTCCTAGTCGATGCACCTAACCGATATCTATTAGCTTGCAATGGCATTGCATTCACTTGCTTGGAATTGTGGCGATGACTTGAAATACATTTCCTCATATAGAGAGCGCAAAATTCATTTTTGCAATCTCCATGCAGTTTTCGTATTTTTTTTTTATTGTTTTGCAATTGTGGGACATTCGAATGCACGATCATTTTTTTCTTAATTGGAATGCAACTGATTCAATTCGACACACCACTAACAAACGAACTGTGCCCGAACGTGTATGTCGTGAATGCCACAGCATTTGAATAACCTTTACCACTTTGGCTCTGCCTTATTTTGCCACATCCATTATGAATGGTGAATAGGATTACACCTATTTAAGAAAGCCAAGATGCTGCATTTTTTCTGCAGTAACTTTGTACATATCAAAGCGAATATTGTGAATTGGAAAGGAAATGTCTGAGGTTTATGCAGGAATTAGGAAGGACATCGACTACCATAGCATGGGAGTAGAGGACACCGACATACATGCCATCAACGTGCAAGTCAACACCTCCAAATGGCCAGTAATTGTTCGTTCCGTTTACACCTCCCGACATTGTTAGAAAACAACCAAGCAAGGCTGTTGCTGGTCATAATAAATAAGTGAAGTCACCTGCAAAAACACAGAGCAGAATTGCACGCGTACCTGCAGTAAAGGTCGACTGTTAGCAGAATCAGTAGATGTCCAAGGTGGACAAGTCCAAGGCCCAAAGATCTTAACAGAATTGGGGTGCCCTGAAGTGTTGGATATTGCCATCATCAAGAACATGAGACCAACGTCCAGCATCCAGACTAAAGAAGAGGAAACCTCCAACCTACAACACAGCAGAATTTCGTTGTGATCACTAAGAAAGGATAATAGATTCAAAGGACTGGAATACTCATACCGGATGTCGAAAGACTGTTTGACAGAGCGTGGAGAGACGGTCTCATCGACAAGATGATGGAAGCAGCTATTAACAGGAAACTGCGGCAGCTAATAGCTAGTGATATTTGCAGAAGGAGCTTCAGCGTCAAAAGTTGGAACTTACCGGTTAGAAACCAGAAGTAGTGAGGCAGAAGTACCGCACGAAGCAGTGCTCTCCCGACTGCTAAGCAACATCTTCACAAGCGACATCCCAAAGTCTGCCAATACGTCCCTGACTCTCTTTGAAAAGGGTACTGGCCTTCTGTCATCCTCGTGGCACAAGGACTGCATCCGGCAACAGCTCCAGTTTGCAATTAACGAACTACATCAGTGGCTCATCAAGTGGAAGCTGACGATAAACACAAAGAAGAGCCGGGCCCTACTTATTGGTAGGAAGCAGGACAGTGTCGATGGAAACATGAGCATACAGGGAGAAAGCATCGAATGGGAAGGAGATAATAAATATTGGGGTGTTGTTTTAGATAGCAGCTGACCTGGACGAAGCACATAAAAACAGCCATAGATAAGGTTAAGGCAGCCAAGTTGTACCCACCCCTCAATCGAAGAAGCCAGATGAGTATCAGGAACAAGCTACTCCTCATCAAGACAAGGAAGCATTCTCACAAGGAAAGAGGCAGCGGACTTCGAGAACGCTCGAAGGCACTCGAATGAAGAGCTGCTAAACTTGAACTATACACCTGAGGATCTGGGGCCCAGAAAAAATGCCCATACAAAAAACATAAAAATTGATGACAATTTATTTTTTGTTCAAATATCTTAATAGCATTCAATGGTTCCTTGTGGTTCTCTAGTTCCGTCGCCGTTCCTATAGCAGTGGCCACCGTTATTATAGAAGAAGTGGCTGCTTCTATAACGTCGGTTATGGTTACAATAGCAACGGTCACCGTTATTACAACAGGAGCTGTAACAGCAAATCACAGTTTTTTGCGGCCGTAGCTAGCAAAACGTAATAGCATATGTCACTTCCGTATTTTAACCTTTGTTAGCAGGTTTATAAAACAATACTTACATACTATGAATATATTTATATCTGTTTAAAGGCTTGCAAAACCTGGTGTTTTTGGATGTAACAAAATAAGTTACAATGATATTTAAATTCATTTAATTATAATAATTAAATATATAATACAGGGTGATTCCAAATTGGCGTCATTCCTTTTAAGGGGTGATAGAGGCTCACTTGGGGAGTACGAAAAAAATATTAAAAAAAAAAAATTCTAAAATTTTTAGAAGATATTAACAGTTAAAGATCAAATTTCAACTTTTTTATTAAGCATTATTTAGAAGTTGTTCCATGTTTAATTGGTAGCATATTGGAATATTTAAGCATTAAAAAAAAAATTACGATCTTTGCTCAAATTACGAAATTTTTTTATATCAAAATAGTTCTCTTCTACAATTTTTTGATGAAAAGGCACAGCGGCAATGATGTTTTTTGTCTTTAACAAATAGTTACAGGTGGATAGCCCTTGTCAATAATAACAATAATTTGTCAAACTGTGACTTACTTTGAATTTCCTTTCACGAATTTGCGGATATACGCTTGTTCAGGGGAAATGCTACAGTAACATAGCAGAAGCTGAAAGAAGTCACGCCAACAAAGGGCGAGGAGAGTCGTTCCAGGAAGATAGTGGACGACAATCGATTTTCGGGTTCCAGACGCAGAGGAACAAGTATTGGAGATAATCGAATCAGGGCCTTCCAGGGGCACTCAGAGCACAACCACTGACACTTTTCCAGGCACCAAACAAATACCAGATACATTCCTACCACGTTTGTACGATACACACAGCACAAGGAGATACAAATAGAGCAGGAGTTAATTAACTGAATACGAGAAGCTGCTTGATAAGAGTGGATAATAAGGAGATTGCACAGGCACTAGCTTGTTTGCAGTTAATCATTCAAATGTTTGGTGTTGTATGGATTCCCTTGAGACACATTGCTGCCGTATTTCTGATACAGTTTTTTGGAAATTTCTCAGTTTTTAATAACAATCAATTTATTTTACTATTTGTTCTGTACAGCGCCAGACAACACCTCCAGAGGAATGACGCCAATTTTGAATAACCTTGTATAATGCTATAAATTAAAAAAAAAATTAAAAATAAATAATAATAACATCACAATGGCCTTCAGTGGGCGTTTGGACTTTTGAACTCGCGAATAATTTAATACATTGAATTTTGCCTAGCACAGTGTACATGAAACCGACAGTGCAAACTAAGAAGGTGTTGAATTACGTCTTAATAAAAAAAATATATTTTGATAATTTACACGGTTGTTCAAAAAATGTTGTGTTTATCTCGTTAGCGAACGGTGTTATCGTACTTGAGATTGTCTAGCCTCGGCTGCAAGCGACCTCGACAAAAATGTCTTTCTTTGTAGGTTCAAATGCATTTTTGCAGCCTTGATACACAAATAACGATTGTCTAGTAGCTTATGCGGATAGGAATCGGTTATGCGTGTGATTTTCAGTTGAATAAAGTTTTTATTAATTAATAATAAATTTCTGATTGTTCTATATTATTAAGTTTTTTGTTATTTTAACGCTGGATATGGAAGCTATTCCAGTTTGAACTTGGTTTTTTTGAAACTCCCGCGAAAACTGCGACGTTGGCACACTCTCAGTTTGTAAACTGATCACTGTAGAATTTGCAGTTGTCATAATACATGAAATGTACAGTAATCAGCTGTAAAATTTCCTGAAATTTTGTAATAATAAATATTTAATTTGTATTGTGAATTAAAACGTAAAAATCAAAATTTATTAAAATTAATGGAATGCCTCGAATTGTCATGTCAAAACGGTTGGAACTTTTTTATCCAGTTCATCACTTTGGGGTAAAACGGTGCCATCACCGATCTTCTACAAATTTTCCTAAGGACATCGATTTATGAATTGAAGCGTAATAGGTAGCTTGCCATTACATACTTTTTCATTACTAATATTTTCTCTGGCTTTTCTCTCCATACTATCATACAAGCATGCAGCTGTTTTT